GGAGAAAAAGTAACCCTTTCTCCTTCAGCCTAAAGCACACTATTTGAATTAATAGCTACCAAAAGGTATCTAATGGTCATCCTTCTCCCTAGAAATGTGGCCTAAATTGTTTAATTAATTTAAATTTAGGTCTGATTGGGATGATTTTTTTCTGCTAGAGATTGAGGCATCTAGAATGAACCTCTGTAGGTACAGCTAATGGAGGTGAGGGGGTCAAGAGTATATCATCTCTACCCACTGCCCATTAATTTCTGGGAATAAATGTGGGCCATCTCGAAAGCCTCATCTGGAAGGATCTTAATGCACTACTTCCATTGGATTAAATATAAGCATTAGAGGTCCTTGTTCTTGACCTTTAAAAACAAGAGTTACACTATGTATAGGTTTTTTTAACTTTCTGGTAAATTGAAGTTCCTGCATAATTGGACATGATAAATGTATTTATATTTTTATATGTAAGAAGATTTGGCTGTCAAATTATTGACCCCAAGGAGGGTTAAAACACACTCAATAATGGCAGTTTAATAGGAAATCTAAATTAGGAGTATGTGAATATGTACATCTGGAGGGTGTAAATGCATATTTGTATAGATAGATAATTGTTCATTGCAATTATTTTTCTTTCTTTCTTCAAAAATACTTTGACTTTACAGCATGACATCACTTGATGAGTAAATTAAGCTTTGGCAGTAAATGTGTATTTAATACTGTATTACGCAAATGCAACCAAAAGGCCAGGAAATCTGATTCCTAATAATCTTTTCTGAATCAGTGGATGGGCATAAACTATGATGTATGACAAAGGTAAATTAGCTTACGAGTTTCTAGGAATATTATTACTCAGGACAGGAACATCTATTAGCCATCATTATTTCCATCTCTGATTAATTCTGTCTGACTTCCCTGACCTGTACCCTACAGATAAAGAAATATCTTTTCAGGCAACTCAACTTGTTCTTTGTAGCTCTTTTTTTAAAGCAGTTAAAAGCATGTTTGATTCTTCATTTTATGCTTTTGAGCAGAAAGCCCTCTTCCATGGGGGGACTTTCTTGGGTCTGGTCCCCCAGGTCCTTCAAAAGCTGCAGTCTGTCATTGTAATAGGAGAGAAGTGTTATTCAGTGCAGGGGAGGGTCTTTAATTTTAATGAAATCAATGTTTGTCTTTTTCACCTAAGCCCACCCATTTGACAAAGTTCAGCCTCTGACATACCACTCAAAGACTAATCTGAAAAGGAATCCATACCTTTAGGTAGAAAGTTTTAAACAGCCCCTTTCATGTATTGAATTTGACCATGAGGACAAAGCAGGAGTGGTTGTGATTAAAGAAAAGTTACTTCCCTGCTATGCCATTTTTATAATACCATTTGGGATCTCAGCGGGGGTACCTGTCAAACTCTGCAAGATGGTGGGCATGGCATCACAACCAAAGCCATGCCCCGCTCGCACATGGACGCGTGCACCAAAGGGGCGGGCCTTCAGTCACAGTGCTGTGTCCATCATCTTGCAGATTTTTATGCTCCCCTGGAGATACTTCTACTATGACCGTACAGCCCAGGCTCATGTTTGTGCTACTACTGAGCAGCAAAGCAAATGATTAGACTACCGAGAAAACTACTTGCTATCGGTTCTTCTTGCCCTCTGACAATTAAGATTGTCATAAAAATGAGTTGACTTCAAAGCTCTCAAACTAGGCTGTAAAGGCATATCCCAGAACACAGATCTCCTCCTCCCAGAACAAAAAGGATCATATGAAGAATCAATCCCCATGCAGTGCTTCTCAGCTCCTTGTCCTCTTACTTACTAAAATAAAATTATCTTTTTCTCTTCTAGAATGAGGTTTCCATGTTGAAAAATGAGGTAGCACAGCTGAAACAGTTGTTGTTAACACATAAAGACTGTCCCATAACAGCCATGCAGAAAGAATCACAAGGATACCTAAGTAAGTAGGTAACATACTTATATTATCTGCACGTACGTACTAATAGTAGATTTCCTTTTTTCAGCTCACCTCTCTATCTGAACAAGCATTTCATACAACCTTTAGGAATGGTGCCGAATTAGCAGTGGCTGTCAAGTAAAAGACACACATAAATTAATACTGGTTATAAAGAGAATTTAGTGGAGGCATCTCAAAGAATTTGACATCTCCACAAGTATGTTAAGGATTGTAGAAACTGCTGCCAAACTTGATTAGTTATTTAACCATTACTGAATAGATCATAGCAGCAATATCTTTTTTTAGAAAAACAGATACAATTTCTAAAACATTAGCAGTACAGAAGTCATAAAAATAACATGACACAAATTTAGTATTACGTTTATTATGTATAATAAATTATTATTAACATTATAAAATATATTACCTTTAAAAAAATGCTCAGAAGACAAAGTAAAATAAATGGCAAATTTCAAAATGGGTAGTGGCAATTTTCTCTAAAACAGCATTTTAATATGAGATATTGTGCCTGTTTAAAAGCTTTTATTTGTCTAGTTTTCCATCATATTGTAGAGCTACATAGGACTGTATTATTTGGGAACTTTTGTTATTGTTGGTGATGGTGGTGTGTGTTTGTGTGTGTGTGTGTGTGTGTAGTACAGTTTAAATATACCACATAAACTTAGCCTGATGAACTCTCCTGATACCTTGCTTTCAATATGATGAAAGAGCCTTTCAGCACTAGAGTCTGTACCTGAAGTCTGAAATAGTACAGCCTCCCTGCACATTTGTACTATCCACAAGAACTAAGCCATAACTTCAGTAGCACACCTAAAAAATGCAAAGAATGAGAGTTAAGCATTATAATGGTTAGTTTGTATATTGTCAATGTTTACTATCAGAAACCTGAGACAAGGCTGTGCGTCTAGTTGAGGGAGCAATTGGTGGCAAACCTGGTTTTGCTGCTTTATTAATTGTGACATGTCCCTCAGTTGAAATTTAAAACAAAGTAATTCTGGAGAAAACTCACTGCTGCTCCATCTAAAGTCTTCTCTGCATCTGCAGAGTGACGATCTTTTGTGCTTCCAGAGACTGCTCTTCTCATGGCAGGGCCCAACTGGGTTTCCTAGGGATGGAGCAGCAACTCCAGTAAAGCCAGTTACTTCCAGATTTCCATGAACCATTTGGTGTAGGGGGGATTCGGAACTAGCACTGCCTTCCTTTCCCAGCTTGACATCATTCAGAGCCCTCTCCAAAGGCTTGAAAAGGAGACTCAGCAGCATGGACAGAAGAGGCAAAGTACTCAGTATTTCGCTGGAACAGCCTTGACTACATGACACATATCCCCAAAGGAGATGATACTTCGGTCCATGCAAGTAGCGCTCTGCTGACTTACTACTTACACTGAGGTATCGTTCCATTATTTAAAAGTGCTAAATGCCGACATAGCTTAAGATAGAAATGTAGTATCCATAATATGAAGGCAACTCTACAGCTTCCTTTATTCCTATTATTCCTTATCTCTAATGATTATTCTAATCTTAATGCCAGGGTTCTTGTGGTTAAACGTTTTATATTGCAGTCTGCTTCCTCAGTACTTTGCCCTGCTAAAAAAAGCTGGACTATCTGGAATGAGTCTTCTTTTCTTCTCTGTTCAGGTCCCGAAAGTAGTCCTCCTGCTAGTCCTGTTCCAGCCTGCTCACAACAACAAGTCATCCAGCATAACACCATTACAACTTCCTCTGCTGTCAGTGATGTCGTCGGAAGCTCCACCCTCAGCCAGCTTGCAAGCCATCGAACAGATATGAACCCAGTTCTTTAAAACTGAGCGATCAGCAACTGTGATGAAAAATATGATAGCCTATCAGGTTTCTTTTCTGTTAAAGGCATTGTCTTCTCAAGATTGTTTCAGATCTGAAGGACTCTGCAGCCCCCAAAAGACTTATGAGCTTGATTTTTTTAGTTATTAAAACATCTTTTATACTTAGTAATAATAAAGGGATTTATGCAATGACTATGCTATCAGCTTGGGAGATGCTTGGTGCTTTCTCTAGTTTTCTGGTACCATTTTCTTGTTTGTTTGTTTGTTTGTAACCAAACTATTTCTGTACATAGCCATGTTCCTTCTCATCATCGCTGGTTGGCACCACCGAAGCATCTTATAACAGTTTCATTAGCCAAAAACTGAGGTTTAAGAAATATGAAACAGCCATACACTTGTTGACAGTGCAATAAGTACATGGTTTTTCAGCGCCATCAAACTCTCAATCACGCTCATAGCTTTGCAAATCATTATTCTGCTTTGAAAATGTTTCCACATCCTTTGGCGTTATGGCCCTAGGGGTCCTGCTCTCAATCCATGTTCTCTTTTTCTGAGCTGTTGGAACTGATTATGAAACAGTATAAAAGTCTTCAATATTTCTGAAGCTTTCTGAAGGGAGGAGGTGAACCCAGGTTTTCTCAGTCTAGCTGTTTTCAGAAAAGATTTGAACGTACGCAGACCAGAAAGGATGTGCCTGTCTGGAGTTTGTTCTGCAATATCACAAGCCTTTCAGTTACCAAATAGTTTATGTTTTTTGCCTACCACCAGAATACTCATGCAGAAATGGAACATTAATACAAAACATGAAATGTTTAAATTGAGTATGGGTTTTGAGCTTCCGTGGAGTTTTCTGTTTCTTCCTTGTATGCTGTGACCTTCTGCACTTTTCTATTTCCCCATATAAACCATGTAGTTGTGAGTCTTCTTTCTACAAAGTCTTTATGGTATTTCATACTAAAACTCTTGTTTCTGTTTTTCACTGCTTGCACAGTTTCTATTTAACGTTGAAGGAGCACTGACATTGATGAAAAGCCTTCCTGATCCACCAGCTACTTGCTCAGAAGCATCTGCTAGTTCATTCTTTTTAACAGCCCCTTATCCACAGCTGTGTGGGGTTTTGATTTTCTCTGAAACACTTTTTATATTACCCTAATAGGGTGTTTTAATAAATAGTAAAGGTTGAAAGCAGTTTTACCTCAGGTAAAGCTACTGATGGGGTCACGGTGCTAGTGGAAACCTTGTAAGATTGTTGCTGTAAGAATCTATAGCACTGAGAAAAAGTAAATATCACTCTGACAGTACTATGTTTTTTGTTCAATAACAAGAAAAATTGTCCTCAATTTCATAGGATTGTAACTGCACCAAACCACTACATTCAGTGACTGAGTTTGTCACTGAATTGAGTTCACCCAATACCTTAAGCCATATAGTGATTTGTTTGATTCTGGTTTAGCATTTTCTATAAACCCAGCCATTATGTCTTGTAAGGAATGATTTGGCATAAAATATTGTGTGAACCCAGTCAGTTTCGGTTCATTGAATAAACTATAGTCTTGCAAATAGTATTTTAAAGTAACAAGGGAAACCAGAGAGTAGAACAATCTGCTTACACTTAAGTAATCTTGGATAAAGGAATTGTGTGAGTCAGAGACACAATGCCATGTTATCGGATGCACAGCTAAGAATTGCTAATATCAGGGAAGAGCAGAGGAAGGGGGTGGTTATAATCATACCCTGCCTCTGGCCATTTTGTGAAGGAGGATGCTTTAAAAATCAGTAATTGGGAAATGGCATTTCTTACGAGATCCTAACTAGGCCCTCTTCACTGTATAAGATTCAAAGTTTTAGCATTTAATTTTCCAAATAAAACTGTTCAGTCCAAAAAAAATTTTTTTGTTACACTGACTCAAAATTAAGAGTTAATTAATTTCCTAAAATCAAAGACTCCAGATTCAGTCTCAAACAAATCTGGGAGCTATCCTCAAGAATCACTGGTAATCATTGTAAATAGCTATTTTCACCAGTAGTCTGACTTAGATAAAGAAGTTTTCAGTGTTATTAACAGGACTCAGTTCCAAATAAATTTTCTCTAAAATTATACATTGATTTTTTTTAAAACACCCAGCTGAATCTCGAGTCATGAAATTGGTCATTTTGACAAGTGAAGAAAGATGATAAGTGCCACTAACCATTTCTGAGTTTTAAAAGAACTTGTTCTTGATACTAAAACTGAGGCTGTGTTATATCTGAACTCAGGCTGAGAGTATACATTTTGAATAGCATTACATACCAGTTAAACTGGCTATGTGTACATATTCTTTTAAAAATGTTCTGAGATAAAAAATGCATTTCAGAAAAAAAATAAGTTGACTTTTTGGCAAAACTGATCAATATTTTAGTATCTAGCACCAAATCAACTACCACTGCTCTTTTCAATCTATCTTTTCCTTTTATAAGAGTTTACCAATTAAAACATTACATTATAATACTAATGAGATCAAATGAATTTTACAACAATCTGAGAAGCAAAAGAAATTTCAGTAGGAAATAGGTTTGAAAATTACTGTTTTTCTGGTCCAGATTTAAGAAGAAAATGTGTAATCTGGATTGGCCATAGTGGATTCCAATTCAGCTAAAATTAGCTGTGACAAAGTTGTATGAAATCAGTGGAACCGTGTTCGTTATAGCTCTTCAGTCTGACTCCTTTTACAGGAATATGCAGCCTAACCTTTCTATATCTTTCACTTAAAGAAAGTTCTACAGTGAACAATGGGCCCTTTTCCCAAACAGATGTGCATAGGATTGTGGACTAAAATATCAGATCTGTTAGCTGTTTAGGGTTTGAATAAAGCCAAAGATCCATCTGCAAGCAGAGAGTTCTTCTAGAGGATATCTGCCAGCTGTAGAAACTCCCTCAAGTATTGGGCTACCAGATCTGGGCTACAAAAAGCCAGATGAGTTACCAAAAAAAGCTACAAAAAGCCACTAGAAGGCAGCAAAGAAATAAAGAAAACAAACTCATCTTGATTTCTGCAACCTGGATGCGGTAGCCCTACATAAGCATGATCTTCTATATGCAGGGTTTTCTCTAGCCATTGACCCCAAAATGGAGTTGAACAGGCTGAATTTAGAACTCCTTATCCCTTCAAAAAGCAAACTTCAGTAGTGTGGCAGCTTGGCACAATTATTGCTAAAAAAATAAAAATCCATGACTTATTCCAGCAACGTTTTGAAAAGGGTCTATCACTTGTCACTTCACTTCCACTTCTTAATTTAGGATTGTCCTCAGAGCAGTTAACAACTCATTTATTGGTTTGGGACTAAAATACTAAGACTTCCAGCAGCCTTTTCGTTTTTTTTCCCTTGTACAAACTACATACTTCTAGAATATACTTTATTTTGATAAAGCAGTGGGGATGCAGAGGCAATATGAATATAGTAAAGTTTGTTGTTTAGGGTTCTTTTTTAAAAAAATCTTCAAACAACATAGAAAAATTAAAAACATAAGACTTTTATTATATTATTATTTAAATGCTAAAATGACATGATACCTGTGAAATAGCAGTGGTTCTGAGGAAATTCAGTTGAAATACAGAGCTTTAAAAAAACAGTCACCATTTTGGTTGATTCCTTGCATTGCTATAAATACAAAGAGGTTCCCTACCCAAACAGTTGTGCTATTTATTTTGATGGAGTGAGAAATGCAGCATCTGTCATGGAATCTGTAGATAGTGCTACCCCTTCCATTGAAGTGAATGGTGCAACCCAATGGGCAGCAACTGCATCTTAAAAATACTCATGCAGGGATCTTTCAATGGGGAAAAAACTTTATTGAAAAGGAAAGTGACATCCGATCTATGTATCATCATACTATTCCACAGGTTGTAACATACAGTGTTGACACTGCAAAAACTCCAGGGTATTTTTGCCCACAAGCCACTTTAATTCAGTCATGCTTACTTCCTATTGAAATGTACGTATGCAACGAACAGACTCAACAGGAAGCATCCATGCATAGGAGTCCATTGTCCATCTTAAAATGAATGTTTGCTTTCTCCCCTCCTCAGACTACTATTTAAATATTTATTAAAGAAAAGTGAAACAAAGGAAGCAAATATGCGTGCTCAATAACTCACCTGAAACTACTAAAGAGCTGAACAGTGCTTGAAGAATTAAATGATTCTTGTGCATGAGATTTCATAAGCTAGAATGTACTTGATTATGTTTGTCCACTTCTGTCATTCCTGGGCAGAGAGTTAATTTCTGGCAAGCTGGAAGAACCTCAGGTTTTTTCACCTCCTTATTCCAAAGAAGGCGTGCACAGCTGCCTCAGACTATTGCAAATAATGTTTCTTAGACCAAAATACAGCAAAATGCCATGCATTTCCCCAGGCTAAACTTCAGATCACTACATCTAAATACCCCAGTGTGTAAAACTCATGAACTAATGCAGGAACATTCCTCCTTTGCACTATATTCCTCCTTACTTCATTATAAATGTCATCAGTCTCTGTGGAGAAGTTACTCACCCTTGGAATCCAGACTTCTAGTAATTCTGAACTTCCTTTTCTTACTTAGGAGAATTCTGTCTCACTTCCAGAGGTCTGCTTGACAGTCATATAAAGGCTGAAAGAAAAAAAAACCATTAAAAAACTTGATGTTAATTTGCATATTCCCAGTGATAAAACTAATTAACTTACCGACCATTTCAGTTTCCTGCCAACTTTGTTTCTGAATATTGTTCCAATGAACAGTTAAAATAAACCCACCCCCTTCCCAAACGTAGAGGTACAAGATTTGAGCTGCAAAAAGTTGAATAACGTTACTGCAGATTACATCAAAGATTTACAGGTTTTGGTTTTTCTTTGCTTTAGAGTTCTGTAGCTCAGATGATGGTAGCCCTATCCACTTCACTGAGGAGAGAATGAGGCCTAATTATATAAAAACTGACCTTGGATGTTGTTGTTTGTACAAAAACTCAATTAAATGTAAGGAAAAAAGAGAAAAAAACCCCCACAAGCACTGCAAATTGCAAGACTTACCAAAAAGGGCTGGATTGCAATAGAAAATACCTATGCTACGTAAGTTTTCTGCAAGCCATATTTCTATAATATAATCTAAATGAGAGTTACTTTAGAGTATTTATTATAACAATGGTGAGCTTTTATTGCATGATCGTGCAATTTCTGTAAAAGTATGCAAGCCATTAAAAAAAAAATAGTGAATGGCAAATCATCAAAATCAGCCATTTCAACATAACCGCTCTTCTCTTTACTAACAAGCTAGCTATAGCTATGGGGTGAAATTTATATTTTAAAAATAACAATATTTACTATGTGTGTGAGTGTGTCTCTGTATTTGTGTTTTTATAAGAAGTCTTTTAATTAGCTCCTGCTTTTTAGCCAGCATTTTTTCCTATAAAACAAAAGAAAAGGAAAAAAGTATATGGTGGATATATGGAAATTAATGAGGACCAAAGTGAAATTTAAAAAAAAAAACCCAAACCAGGAATCTATTAATGTTGTATTCACATAGAATTTTATAAAGTATTTATTACTAAATGTTATTTTTAACATTCCATTTAAACAGCATTCTTCTGTAGAATCTGTTTGTATTTTTCTTAATTACTTTGGGAGTAATCACCAAGCAGTGGTGATTGTACATCTTCATTCAAGATACTTAGCCTCATGCAAGCCTCAGTGAAATGAAAAACAGAGGTTGGCAGTGGTACATCTTGGTGAATTGCCCCACTAAAGTTGCAGTGCACAACTCTCAGTGTATGTATATGTAAATATATAAATATATATATATAAATATATAAATATAAATATCTATATATAAATACTTATAGAGAGAGATTTTTGTATATCGCCAGCAAGAGTTACGCATCTTAGATGACTACAATTGCTGAGAACGGCTTCCTGGAATTGTCCAGAATTCAGTTCTGTTTTCTTTGGTTTTCTTTTTCTTTTCTGAAAGCAGCATCTGCTTTCTGTAACAACAAAAATGTACAAACATATCGTTCTTTTGTTTTTTTGTTGAAGATGTGCAAAGGCCTGCTAAAGAGAAATAATCCATATAACTGGAAAACTGCCTTGATGAATAAGCCCATTATAAGCAAAGGAGATCCTGTCTGATGCTTTACTTCTTTTCTAATATTACCTAGTGAGTTGCACTAAACCGCCTTATCAGTTCTTCTTGTTTTCATAACTAAACAGTGTTCAGTAGCTTTAAACCACTGAAGCTCCATTGTGAATAAGATCAGATTGTCCATCATGTTGCCAGGGTGGTGGAGAGAGAATATAAAGATTTAACTCTGTTCCAATATTAAAACAGTGCCTAGAAAATGGAAACTATTGCAACTAATTAGCAACATATTACATTTCAATTATTTATATTATTTGAAAATTGCACTTTAGCCACCTCTCCCACAATCTCTTTATTTGTAAAATATTGACCAGTAATACGTGTTTGAACTGGTGGCACATTTACCCTTATTTATCACACTAGATCTGAAAGAACATTGCTCAGAGGATTGGAGCAGGAAAAACATTCAACAATGTTCAACCTTTTCTCCTACTTGTACTTTTTTGTATATGCCATAGAATAAGAAAGAAAATTCTGTACACAATAAACCTTACTGGTTTTGGGCCACTTTAACTGAGAAGGGATCCCTCAAATTTGCAAATTCTGGGAACTGTAATTTCCTGAGAAGCTAAGAACTCCTTGATACAAGCCACTCGTGGTCTCCCTCACCCCAACCCCAGAACTACAACCAGCACTACAACCGGTGTATATATAGTGTGTATAAATTGCTGTTACATTATTTTCCATCAGACTGCTCTATAGAGATGACAAAGTTATATCAACCCTAATAGTGAGAAATCCATTCTGAATCCTTACACTCTTTTAGGCTGCAGTCCTACGCATACTTGACTGAAGTGTGTGGACTTTTGTCTGAGCAGAGTTGTGCAAGGTTGTGTGCTAACGTCACATTTCGTTCTACTTTACCCTTCCCCAGACTGGTGTCTTTCAGATGTCTAATTGATGCCAATCCCCAGAAAGCACAGAGAAGTCTGATTAATGGGGACAGCAACTTTAATTTTTAAACAATTTAATTAAAAGGGTTATTTTATTTAAAGCAATAAAACGTGTTAGTAAAAAGAAGCTAACCTCACTGTTTCTGTTTGTTTGTTTCAATTCCAGTGAATGTGCTTTAATGAACAGTGCTGTCAGAGCCATGTCAGTCCTTCCTCTCAGTAATTTTACATAAATTCTCCCCCCATATGACAATTGAGGGTTATTAGGTTCTCAATTAGCCACATGGTTCAATCCGTATTTGATCACATTATAAGTGACTATTGTTTTCTTGATTTTAATGGTCTGCTATGTTGAATTCCAATCCCTGTCAGAAGAAATACCTGTTTATCAACACAAATGTTGGAAGAAATAGGATGTGAAAATGTTGGCATTTTTCTACCTCTGTGAACCACTTAACAGGGGTAGAGAAGAACTGAGAGTTGGCAATGTACGTGCAGAATGTTTCTGTAGAGCAGAGAGATGAATTCTCCTGAGTGTAAATCTGAGTTCTTTCCAAGTTTTCTTTGGATAACATTTTGCTCAAGTCTGTTTGCACAAAACGCATATAATATGTGGAATACACCATCTGCAGCTTCTTGTTTTATTGAAACAAACATGTCACATTATGTTTTACGAAGCATCTCTCTTTAAACAGAATTTTATTGCTCTGCCTGTGTCAAATCATAGTTTTGTTGTGTTAGGCTTCAGGTCTGTACAGTTGCAGGTTATTTCCATGTAGTTGTAAAATCAGCCATGGGGGTGGGTTAAAAAGTTGGGGTGGAGGAATAGCATTTTGGTTGTCTCCAGGACTCTTTTATCGCTAACTACAGAAGTAAAGCTAAAAGTATCTGAATTTCCTTCATTTCACCATGCTTCTTACCTGTGAATATACTGTATGAACAATTTATCCCTCTTACGCCACTCTTCTTAAACATACAATTTTTTACACCCCAAAAAATTCATAAATATTGGAGGGA